AGAATGTTTTGAATGTTGCAAAAGAAAGATCTTTAATATTAAACGAAAATCCGCCAATTCAAAAGACAATTGCAAAATCACTAAAATGCTCAGTGTCAACTGTAAACAAAGTGAAATGCTGATTTGAATCTTACAAAGACGCAAAAAAGGTAATGTGCATCTTCTTTCTCCAAGACATATCGCCGAAAGCAGAAAGCAATGCAAAAATCTTTATAACAAAAATTATTCGGTGAAAAATGGAAAAAATGTTGTTACAATACATGAATCTGGAGTTTATTTAAATGACCGAAATAAAAAGAGATCCATTAAATATCATCAGAGTGAAGAAAAAAATCTTAGAACATGGTTCAAATGTTTTGATGGGGATTTAAGATTGTCGTTGGTTTTTGATATAACGACAAATCAAAATTAAAGACAGTGCAAAAAATTATTAAGGCCAACTCCACATATTATCAGCAATATATTCATACACAATTTTCAAATATGAAATAAATTTCTTTTCCACAGTGCGGTCAGTCAGTAGAACTGCATCAAGACAAAGCAAGCAACCGGCACGTCAAAAACCACTGCTAATTTCCCGGAAGAATGGAACAAGAAAGTGTGTTAAGCCAAACCCTTCACTCCTATCCCTAGTGAATCTCACCCACTTACGTTCGAACCTGAATTCAACAAGCAGTATTCAACGCTCTTGCACGGCTCCTAGTGAGACTTTGACGAAACAAAAAAAAGTGTTCGGTTGTTATGAGAGACTATGAAGTCATTTAGCTTGGCTTTATTTCTCAATAGAGAGACAGTGTACGCCTATTTTATTAATTATTAGCCCAAAGGAACGTTAGCTGAGAAGGACTATTAATTTTGCTTAATTATTAGTCCAAAGGAACGTTAGCTCAGAAGGGCTATTAATTTTGCTTTATTATTAGCCAAAAGGAACGTTAGCTCAGAAGGGCTATTAATATTGCTTAATTATTAGCCCAAAGGAACGTTAGCTCAGAAGGGCTATTAATTTTGCTTTATTATTAGCCCAAAAGGAACGTTAGCTCAGAAGGGCTATTAATTATTATTAGCCAAAGGACGTTAGCTCAGAAGGGCTATAATTGCTTAATTATTAGCCCAAAGGAACGTTAGCTCAGAAGGCTATTAATTTTGCTTTATTATTAGCCAAAAGGAACGTTAGCTCAGAAGGGCTATTAATATTGCTTAATTATTAGCCCAAAGGAACGTTAGCTCAGAAGGGCTATTAATTTTGCTTTATTATTAGCCCAAAGGAACGTTAGCTCAGAAGGGCTATTAATTTTGCTTTATTATTAGCCAAAAGGAACGTTAGCTCAGAAGGGCTATTAATATTGCTTAATTATTAGCCCAAAGGAACGTTAGCTCAGAAGGCTATTAATTTTGCTTTATTATTAGCCAAAAGGAACGTTAGCTCAGAAGGGCTATTAATTTTGCTTAATTATTAGCACAAATAAAGTTAGCTCAGAAGGCTATTATTTTGCTTTAATTCCAAAAACGTTAGTGAGAAGGACTTAATTTTGCTTAATTATTAGTCCAAAGGACGTAGCTCAAGGGCTATTAATTGCTTATTAGTAGCCAAAGGAACGTTGCTCAGAAGGGCTATTAATTTTGCTTAATTATTAGCCCAAAGGAACGTTAGCTCAGAAGGGCTATTAATTTTGCTTTATTATTAGCCCAAAGGAACGTTAGCTCAGAAGGGCTATTATTTTGCTTATTATTAGCCCAAAGGAACGTTAGCTCAGAAGGGCTATTAATATGCTTAATTATTAGCCCAAAGGAACGTTAGCTCAGAAGGCTATTAATTTTGCTTTATTATTAGCCAAAAGGAACGTTAGCTCAGAAGGGCTATTAATTTTGCTTAATTATTAGCACAAATAACGTTAGCTCAGAAGGGCTATTCATTTTGCTTTATTATTAGCCCAAAGGAACATTAGCTCAGAAGGGCTATTAATTTTGATTAATTATTAGCACAAATAACGTTAGCTCAGAAGGGCTATTCATTTTGCTTTATTATTAGCCCAAAGGAACTTTAGCTCAGAAGTGCTATTAATTTTGCTTTATTACTAGCCAAAAGGAACGTTAGCTCAGAAGTGCTATTAATATTGCTTTATTATTAGCCAAAACGAACGTTAGCTCAGAAGGGCTATTAATTTTGCTTAATTATTAGCCCAAAACGTTAGCAGAAGGGCTATTAATTTTGCTTTATTATTAGCCAAAAGGAACGTTAGCTCAGAAGGGCTATTAATTTTGCTTAATTATTAGCCCAAAGGAACGTTAGCTCAGAAGGGCTATTAATTTTGCTTTATTATTAGCCAAAAGGAACGTTAGCTCAGAAGGGCTATTAATTTTGCTCAATTATTAGCCCAAAGGAACGTTTGCTCAGAAGGGCTATTAATTTAGCTTAATTATTAGCCCAAAGGAACATTAGCTCAGAAGGGCTATTCATTTTGCTTAATTATTAGCCCAAAGGAACGTTAGCTCAGAAGGGATATTCATTTTGTTTAATTATTAGCCCAAAGGAACATTAGCTCAGAAGGACTAATAATTTTGTTTAATTATTAGTCCAAATGAACGTTAGCTCAGAAGGTCTACTAATTTTGCTTAATTATTAGTCCAAAGAACGTTAGCTCAGAAGGGCTATTCATTTTGCTTAATTATTAGCCCAAATGAACGTTAGCTAAGAAGGGCTATTCATTTTGCTTAATTATTAGCGCAAAGGAATGTTAGCTGAGAAGGCCTATTAATTTTGCTTTGGCATTTTGCGAGCATTCACTATAAATAGCGAATGACTTTTGAAATTGTTGCCACCAAATATTAGAGCCCTGTATTATAATTCAAGAAATTCAATAAAGGAGAATCTGCGTTAATGTATGTATCTTTTTCGCATTGTGATAAAACAACGATACATAGAGCCATCCAATTTTCAATAACGTAAGTCTTCACTCGAATATGGGCATTCAGAAGCCCTGGAATTTGGAATTTGTATTACAATACTGTACGGGGAAAAAAACATTTTTATATCAAGCGCGCGAGACCGTGTATCGGAAATTCCAAAGATATGCCCTTTTAAATATGTTGCGATATTGCTGTTGGATTGAATTTTATGGTCTAAATAAGAAGATCTCGATATTTAATAAATAAAGTAACACACGAAACGTTAAAACAAAAAAAAACGTTTGGGCGTAATATAAAATCCGAAAGCTCTCAGATTTTTTTTTTATCCAAAGGGGCAATTTGCCCTGAAGGACTATTAATTTCGTTTTGGCATTTTGCGTCGAATACTTTACAAGGCTGTATGACTTTTCAAATCGTTGCCTCCAAATATTATCGCCATGTATTATATTTAAAGAAATTAAATAGTGAAAAATATGTATGAATGTATGTATGTTTCTCGCATTGTGAAAAACTGACGTTACTTAGAGCCATCAAATTCTGAGTAACGTAATCCTCCACCCGAACAAGGGCACCTGGAATTTCGAATTTGTTTTACTATATATTTTATATTTTGTAAAACTTTAATGAATTCTTTTATTATTAACAAACTAAACGATTTCAAAGCGAGTAATGGCAACACTGTATGGAACATAACATTTAAATCTCAAGCGCGCGACACTGTCTGTCCGAAATTCTAAAGATATGTTGTTTTTAAGTATTTTTGGATATTGCTGTTGAATTGAATTTTATGTGGTTTAAGTGCGAAGAACTTGATATTTAATAAATAAAAGCAACACGCAAAATGTTTATAAAAAAAAAAAAAAAATCCCTTTGGGCGTAATATAAAATTTGAAAGCTGTCAGAATTTTTTTAAGTTCATTATATCAATATCCAGTTTTCTTAACAAAATGACCTACACAATTTTTTTCTCTTTTTGATTTTACTATTAAGCACCACATTCTTCACACTTATGCTACCTAAAATTTTACAGCAAAATCTCAAACTTTTAAAAGTAGCGTATGTTTACAATTTCTGATATAGTGTTGAATACTGCAATTAATGTTTTTCAGTTTTGTATCAATTTATATCAATGTTGAGTTTTCTTGCACAGCTATTCTCCGCCTTTTTATTGTTAAATTTTTGTCCCCCCCCCTTTTTTTTAATATTTAAATTTGATATCACTTTCTTCGCACTTACGCCACATAAAATTAATCAGCAAAATCACAAAATATTTCAGAACAGCGTATATTTAGAATTCCCAATACAGTCTTAAGTGTTGCTGTAAATTTAAAATACTCTGTATATTATTTCTTTAAAAATAATACACGGCGATAACATTTGAGGATTTCCTTTTATTTGAAAAATGATTTGGAAAAGGGAGCGTCGTGACTAAGGGCACCTCTGGGGCTAAAAACTAGTAGGAAAAAATAGGTAAATTGCCAATTTATTCAGAGTTTGCGGGAAAATCTGACCCTTGAGAAATCTTAATAACATCCCCTGAGATTCAGGAAAATAGCCACAAAATTTCGGTGTAAAATTAATTCCCTAGTACTTGAATTATTGGAAGTAGATTATTATTCAAATATATAAAACGACTGTTTTAAATTGAAACAGTTGTTTGAAATGAATTTATGAATTAAATGAATTAATTATGAATGAATGAATTATGAATTGATAATGAATATGATTATTAATTGTGAATAAATAACGAATTTGTGAATTAAATGAATTAATAATGAACATGATTATTAATTGTGAATTAATAATGAATTAGTGAATTAAATGAATTAATAATGAATATGATTATTAATTGTGAATTAATAATGAATTTGTGAATTAAATGAATTATTATGAATTAATAATGAATATGATTATTAATTGTAAATTAATAATGAATTTATGAATTAAAATAATGAATATGATTATTATTGTAAATTAATAAATTAATAACTAATATTAATAATGAATTTATGACTAAATTTAATTAATTCATTCATTTTTTATTAATTAAATGAATTAATTAATTTAAGGCATTATTTTTTGTCTCTTTTCAGGATATCTAAATTCAGTGCAAGGTGAACGAACGGGATTTTATTTCGCTTCTGCGTGCTTGTTCACAGGTGGACTGGTGCTTTTTCTGATAGACGTTCACAAACGAAATGTCAAGCGCCAAAAAAGCAACACCATGAACTCCAGTTACGACCCAACAGACGGTGAGCACATGGAGAATAACAGAGCTTACTACAGCAGACGAGTTTCACTACAAGATCTCGCCAACGCCAGAATGCTCGCCAAGCAAAAACTTGTCAATGAAATCATTCACAAACAGGAACTCACGTGCATCTCGGAAGAGGTGATAATGGATAATTTCTTGGATGATTACGTGGACGATTGTATCACCTCATGCAATAAGGAAGAAAAATACCTCATGCTAAGTGAGTTCGAGAATAATCTGATCAACACCCAAGAATCCTCTAGCGTTAGCCAAGAGGTTCGGAAACTCGCTAAAGAAAGGAAATTCTCAACCGTCACTCCACCTTTAGTTGAACATTGTCCAAATTGCTTACGCGTTGTACCGATAGAGGGCAGCACTCCCTGTGAATCAGTGCCAAAGAAAACGCATGTTTCGCGTTCGTCAGCTAAAAAACAAACGGCTTCGAAGAAAAAGGAGGACAAAACAACAATAAGTACCGATATAATTGATGAAGTAACATCCTCTTTATGAAACTGATCACTTTAATTGTTTTGTGAACAAATATGTGGTATTTAATTTATTTATTGTGAATTTGTATATGTTTCTAATAAATGATTCTAGATGGCAGCACCATATCTGGTGATGCAAACATTTCAGAAACTTAAAATTTGAAAGTTAACAATAACTTCACGTGTTCGTTTTGAACACAGTACGGTTCACAGTTATTTCCATGTGGCGTTCGAATTATTAATGAAACAGTATAAAAACTCTAATTAATAAATCTGTGATGTATCAAAAGTGGTTTAATGTTCATTTATTCTAATTCGTACTCCAAGACTTGAATTTAAAAATCTCCCCGATTTAAACAAAGGGCAAACAATTTCCATATTTTGTGCATTAATAAAAGTGTTCTTGTTCTGGTATTAGTGTTGTTCATTTCAATATATAAAAGAAAAATTATTTTGACCTACCTGGAGCTGAAGCGAAAGTTTCGAAATCTAAGCAAATAATTAAAGTAAAAATCAAGTAATTTTCTACAACATTGTGACTGATTACAGTAATGTAACTATTCATAATTATCATTTAGATACATTTTACGTTAAATGTTCTTTAAATTAACTGTATAATTATAATTAGTCCAATGGGGCAATTTGGCCAGAAGGACTATTAATTTCGTTTTGGCATTTTCCCTCGATTCACGATAAGCGTTGTTTCACTTTTCAAACTGTTGCCACCAAATATTATCGCCCTGTGTTATATTTAAATAAATTAAATAATGAAGAATCTGCATGAATGTGTGTATGTTTGTCGCATTGTAATAAAAACAACGGTATCTAGAGCCATCAAAATTTGAATAATTTTATCTTCCATAGAATATGGTCATGTGGAAGCCCTAATTTGAATTAGAATTTGTTTTATTATCGATTTATTATTTCATAACACTTAACGAGTCCTTGATTAACAAACTAAACAATTTCAAAGTGGGCAAGGGCAACACTGTACGAAAAAAAAAAAAAAAATTATCTCCAGCGCGCGAGACTGTGAATCAGAAATTCTAAAGACATGCTGATTTTAAAATTATTTTATGATATTGCTTTTGAACTGAATTTTATGGTTTAAGTACGAAGAACATGATATTTAATAAATAAAGGTAACGCACAAAATGTTTATAAAAACGCCCCTTTGGATGTAATTTAAAATCTGAACCTTTCAGATATACTTTTTTTTTAAGTTTAAATGTTTAAGTTGCTTGTAAATCAGTAAGTTGTTACCTACATTGTTTCTAAATATCTAATTTTGTTACCCAATGCAGTCACAATTTGAAAGACAAATTAAAGTTTTTACGCCATTTGAAATAGCTACCTGATGGCACGTGGACTGCAAATGACATGGTAATATACGCTTCGACATATACGCTTCTCTAAACATTCGCTTAAAAGGATTTTATAAGAAAATCATGTTACTTTCGTTCTATAATATTAAATACAACATTTAAGATATCATGCAAGCGGAGACACATTTTGAGTCAGAAAATAAAGAGAGGAAATGGGATAGAATATAGAGTTTCGTTTTCTTAGGTAACATAAACTGCCAGACCTAAAAGACTATATGAGGAATTATCCTCAGGTTTTAATTAAGACAAAAAGTAGGAAGGAGGTTGTAAATAACCCTTTATTAACGCAATATAAGTACACAAATGGTCCCACTTGGGCGTACATAAAAGCCAACACTTCTAGCTTAACTCGTATATATCGTTATAATCATGTACGTTACTAAAATGTAACGATGGTCATAAAATTAAACGCAGTACGATTATCCCAATGGCTTAATGTGTAATTTAACGCGCATAAAGGCTCTGACTCATAAAAGTCGGCATAAACAAGCTCAACGGCTAGAAGCACACAATGCCAATTAAACTTCAAAAGATGACAAGCAAGGAGAAAAGGCTGTTATATAGAGAGAAAATCCTATGTAGTCCTAAAGGATAACAGAAAACATACACATACAAAAAAAGACGGGAGGGGGAGGGAATACATTTGTTCTAAGCCAGAAAACAGCATTTCCAACCACCAATGTGAGATTTTGCTCATAGTCGAGATTCTCGTGAGAGATTAGGTGTCTGTAGGCTGTGTATTCTCACCCGTTTACAGAGACAATTTTTTCATTTTCACTCTTGTAACTTGCAGATTAGATAGTTCTTTAAATTAAAAAAAAAATTCCTTGGCAGTAAACCATGGATAAATTTATGGTTTTTTTTCATGGCGTTAAATCCATCACATTTTTATCCACTTTATCCACGGCATTAAAGCATGGGTAAATGGTAACTCGGATATTAAATTAACAGACAAAGATGCATGATAGTACACTAAGAAATTACATTCAATAAATGAATCTATAACTTAATTTTAAGGAAGCAAGTAAAATTTTCCAGAAACAAGATTTTTATGTTTCAATTTAATTGGTGAATGCCCAAATTATTTTCAGTGATAATATTTATTTTCAAAGCATGGTTCATAAATTTGCATTATTTTGTTCAGTTACGTCTAAAACCATTTCTGGCCAAAAAACAAAACTTGTGCATGTTTGTAATTCTTCAACAGCCATGAAATTTGATTAGTCGTAATAAAGCTCCAAAAATTCAAAAGCCCATTTTCTAATCTCCGACCCGTAAGAACGTGATTCAAATGGTTATACGAATTTGCCTTCAACGCCATTCGTATTCCACTTACCAGCTAGATCTTGACAGGAAAGCACAGGAAGGCGTATCTACTATTTTAAATTAAACTCCATTCTACAGGGCGACTGAAGCAGGACGCGAATCCCCGTCGACCTAACTGGAGATGAATTTTAATGTACGAATTTTAATTCGGATTCTACAAATTTTACTGTAATTACAAATTAGATTCTGCATTATTAGTTTTTGGGGAGCAGCAGATTTTGAAAATTCATTTGTGGCGTAGCAAAGATTAAGTTTGAAAATTCTAACTGAATGTGCCATTACACTATAAAAGCATATTAAAAGAGTACATTTAATACTTTAAATGCGAATTTGATAATTATAAGGTGCACTATAAGTTCCTAAGAATATCTCATCTCTGATGTATTATATGAGTGTGATTTATAATCATGTACGCTATCATGCACCATTTACTTTATATATATATCTCATAAATGCAGCTACTAATAACGTGCGATATTAATTATCACCTTCTTCACATGTACTTGCCTTATAAACGTAATTAATAATTACATAATGCAGAAAACTTTTTTTTCCCCTATACTCAGTTAAAGATTCAGAAATAAGCAAAACATTGCTGATTTACTTGATATCGTTGTGAAAATTCTAAGTGAGCATTTGCTGTCAAATAAAGGCTGTATGAAGCAATTGGGCCTAGCAGTATTTATACCACAAATTCTTCCTTTTGATAAATAGCGCACGATAGCAAAATATCTCATAACCTACGATAGCACTAAAAAACGTGTGGTAACCTTTACTTTTACTTATCTGATCAACCCAATTAAAAATAACGTAGTGCAGATGACACCTTTTCTTCAATACTTAATTAAAGATTCAGCGAAAAGCAAAACATAGCTGAATCCAATTGATTCTGTTGTGAAAATTCTGAGCATTTACAGTTAAACAAATACTATAGGCATCATTAAATTTAACACTATTTACACTACAAATTCTAGCTTTCGACTAGAAATGCGACCGATGACCTGAAACTTGTACTTTGTGTACGATATTATACAACTAGATAATATTTTCGGAAGCGAATGATGCAAAATATTCCATTGTGTTCTCTCACAGAAACCAATTTAGCTCTTCCGTCTACCCACTAAATGGCCGGGCCACTGCATTACAAAACACCGTGTGAGGAATATTGCTGTTGTTGCTGTGATTAATGTCACTTGTCTAACCTTCTCACCATAACAAGCTCTCGAAATTTATTGCGGCTAGGAGTACAAGATTACATCTGTCTTGGCAAGAGCCTTGGGCAAAATAGAAGTGACAGTACGATTCTGCATAGTTCCACCCCAGTTTTGAGAAACAGCACTCCGGGTTGGTAGGGTAAGAGAGGGCATCCGACCTCTCCTACCCTACCAACAAACCAAAGTTATCGTGGCCAGGAGTACAAGATTACATCTATCTTGGCAAGAGTTTTGGGTACCATACAGGTGACAGTACGATTTTGCCCAGTTCTATTCCAGTTTTGAGAGAGAGCACCCTGGGGACAGATCCGAGAGTCACCAATTTCTCTTCCGCTACCAGCAAACCAAGCTTATCATGACAAGGAATACAATGTTACATTTGTCTTGGTAAGAGTCTTGGCACCATATAGGTGATTTTGCCCAGTTCTACTCCAGTTTTGAGAAAGAGCATCCCGGGAACAGGTCTGAAAGTCTCCAACCTCTCTTGCCCTACCAAGAACCCAAAGTTATCGTGGCCAGGAGTACAAGATTACATCTATCTTGGCAAGAGCCTTGGGTACCATGCAGGTGACAGTACGATTTTGCCCAGTCTACACCAGTTTTGAGAGAGAGCATCCCGGGGACGGACCCGAGAGTAATCAACTTATCTTCCCCTACCAACAAATGAAACTTATCATGACAAGGAATACAAGGTTACATCTGTCTTGGTAAGAGCCTTGGCACCATATATAGGTGACAGTACGATTTTGTCCAGTTCCACTCCTGTTTTGAGAGAGAGAGGCATCCCGGGGACGCGTACAAGGGTCTCCAACCTCTCTTTCTCTACCAACAAACCAAATTTATCGTGGCAAGGAATACAAGATTACATCTGTCTTGGCAAGAGCCTTGAGTACCATATAGGTGACAGTAGGATTTTGCCCACCTCCAGCCTAGTTTTCAGATAAAGCATCCCAGGGGTGGATTCAAGGGTCTCCTACCGCTCTTCTCCTTCCAACAAACCACAAGAGAGGACCAAGTATTTAGAGTGTAACCATGCCGCAAAGACATTACACATTTACAAACATCCATGCGTTCTCTGTGATCCGAATGCGGGTCTTAGGTGTGACAGTCAGAGTCACTTACCACAATCCCGTTTGGGAGGCTGGGAGAAATACTTTCAGTTTTTTACATTTCCTCTTCCAATGCCAAAAGGTTTGAAGGGAAAAGGCAACCTACCGCTGACCAATTCAAACTGTTAATCAGTTATCATCCATTACATTTATACTGGGTGCCACTAAATAATTATTAAATTCTCTGAACCATAATTTCTCGAGAAAATAACAGTGTACTCGATATGATTAAAAAAAATACCTTTCAGTGACTAACAGGATATATTGGCCACTACACCCTTAGGGCACACAAAAGAATGCATTTAACATCTTTCAGCAGCTGTTCTTAGAGAGGGCGAAATTTTTAGAGGATAAATTTTGCAGCTTTTGTGTTGCTATAT